CTAGAGAGCTTTATTAAGAACAACAGTAACCCCTACTGGATTGTGATTGTCTCCCTGGAAACCTAGGAGATAAAACACCTTGCACTGCTTCATAGAAAAGGCATAGTCTGCATAACTGCAATGAAGAACGAGTCATTTCTCTGCTTGCAGTAAATTTCTGTGTCATTATTTCCTGGATTAAATTGGAAATCCTGCTGAATTTACACTCAAGCTTGCTGAAAGACATCTGTTCCTCGCAAACTCAAATTCAGAGCATTTTTTTTGTATTTACAGATAAGTTATGAAACCAGGCGTATGCCAGCTAGTTTTTTCTGTGTTAAAAATTACAAGTACTAGAACATACTTCTTTATGTGCCTGAAAATAAGGGACTTCACATATGATTAATAATATAAATAAATTACTACAATCTGCTGAATGCCTGTCCTAAACTCACCTGAGTCCTGTTCAAGCATATTGGAGTGTGTGTAGGGCTGCAAGGAGGAGAAATCGGAGCAGAGGTAGAAACCTCACAGGCTCGTTAAACAGCATCTATATCAGTATCACAAATTCAGCATTCCAGCTCTTTCTGCACATGTAGCATTTCTGACAAATGGATATGTTAGCAGAGCTATTTTCAGTGACATTTTACTATCCTGTCAGAAAAGTTCGAGCACTGTCTCTGCAAGTTTTTTTTGAGGCTATCGTCTCAAAAAAGATCTTGTTCGTTACTGGGAGTTGGAATCAGAGGGTTCCTCTGGGCTACCACAGAAGCTTTTTAGTATGCCGAAAAACTAAACAGAAGGGGACAAACAGGAAAAGGGAAAACCTGAATGAAAGACTAAAAATAGATAAAACCTTAATCTGGTTAGTGACAAATATTCAATATTTGATTTTATGCATGACTTGTTTCCTAGGAATTCTACCTTTGCTTATCAATGTGAAGTAATCAAGTTTGGTCATAAAGGTGATGGAAACAAGTCATCTGGGTTAGGGATGATTAAATAAGCTGGAGAAGAGGAAGGATATTCTGGATAGACAGTGTCAAGAGATCTCAATCTGAGAAACGACAGAGAGAGAAAAGACTGCAGAATTTCAGTTCTTACAAGTATTTATATTTTCTCTCAAGTGTATACTAGACATATGCCTTTTCACATTGAAATTTTTCTTTCCACATTTCATTCAATTCACTTAAAACCAGTATAATTTTCCAAAAGGTGTTCAACAACTTTTGAAAATGAAGCCCCTTTATGCTACTTTGAAAGCAGAACCCCTAACTGTGTCCACTTTGGAAAATCTTGGCCACTCAGCACCAATTTGTGTTAACTTGTTGGTAATGGTCACACTAGGCATGCAACAACATCAAGTGTGCCTTAAGTGCTTCTCAGAGGCATACCAACTCCATTTAGGCACTTAGGTCCCCTTTCCAAAGTGTGAAGAAAAATAGGCCCTTAACTTAGCCGACAGAACATACTGGAGAGACCAGTGTGCCTTGGATTCTACTTCTCTTCAGTCTCCATTATATTTATACATGTATGTGTGTGTGCATTTGTGAAATGCAAAAATCTGTACATATAAAATAAAAATTCTTTTCTTCTGATGTTTAAGAGCTCTTATTCCCCTCCAGGTTCACAAAAGCACCCACCTCTGAAAAGAGGGAACCAGAAAATCGCTGGGGTAAAGCCCCTGACTTAAATGGATTCAAATGTATAACTATCTATAGGATTCGGTTACTGCTCCTATTAAGGAGAATGAATGAAGACACCTACCTGAAGAAAAAAAACTGTCAATGCAGTAACTACTTCTTCTTTCTTTTTCTGTCTTCAGAACAAGCTTAAATTACTCACATGCCCCAAAGTGGTGTCAGTTCATGACTGCTTACAGCATTCTTGCAGTAACAGGTATTTTTTCTTATTTTACTATTTCACTACCATTACTTGATAGCTTTACATTGCCAGCATGAAATATACACTGAATTCTGTTGAAATGTCTATTTGAAATTTGATAATGTCAATTTGACATATGAGTTCTTTATTGTATGCATGCCCACAATGTCATGCAAAGCTACCCTGGGCTATGCCAGGCTATGCCACAGAAGAGAATTTCTATCAGAACAAATGGAACATCTGAAGCAGACTGTGGACAGATACTAAGACAGATCAGTCCTATGATAAAACCTAGGACAGATCAATCTGTCATGTAAACCCAAACACTCTTCCATGTTAGCTGTCCCAGGAATATGAAAAAAACAATAGAAAACACAAGACTAAGTTATCAGCTGTGCTCCTGGGACAGCCCCAAAAAATCACTCCTACCTTTTAAAATTTCGGAGATCTGCACTGGTTATCTATGAAAAGATAAAACATCATCCGTTCCCTTTGAATTTCCATGTGGTTACAATATAAATAATTGCATTAATAGAAGTTGAAGAACATCAGAATGCTTTTTTTTTCCTCTGGTTTTCACCCTTCATTCTCTGTTTCAGCAGTACTTTTCATCAATAGTTCCATCAGTAATAACAGTGTCTCTATATTTCACTATGTAAATATGTATTGGAAGACTTTAAAACACAGTTTGATCTAGTCATTAAAAACCTGAAAATACATTACTGCTAAATTTAGAATTGGCAATTTGAAAATCAATACCCCATATATTAAAACCCAAAAATCTATCAAATTATGTCCAAAATAACAAGAACAATTAAAACACAATCCCTTATATTCACTGGTCAAATTTCTTTCTAAATAAATCAAACAGGCTGTCTAAATGGACTTTGTTTTTTTCCTATTCTATCATGCAAATCCACAGCACAATCATCAATTTAAGCTAAAAAGAATACAACTACACTTTTAGTAAAGACCTCAGTATCTGTAAGGATTTACAATAACAAAATCAAGAGGGTAAAGATACAACATTTATAGGCAATCTGGTAAATATTTTATTGGGGTTTTCTTCAAGAATAATTTTTAATTAGGAAATCAAACTTCAATCTGAAAAAGTTACAGCTGTTTTTAGCACATCTAAAATTTCTGTAATAGTGAAACATTCTAGAACACAAAATTTCTAGCATTTTCATCACTGTATGTACTGAAACATTGCTAATTTATTCAGATGCTTCCATGCATAATTACTAGAAAGACAAATCTGTTATTTTGCTAGTCAATCATCAGGAAGGAAAAGCTATCTAGTGAATACTTTGAAAAATATAAATAATTGCAAGTATTAAATTATTAACCATACCATGAGTACACTGTCCAAACTACCGGTTTAATTTTCTTAATAGTCTGCTTTTTCTATTTAGACTAACATTAGGAATGCAAGGCCTGATTTCAAGCTTTGCCTACGCAACAGATGATTTCTGGTATAGCAAGGTTTTCCAAGGATGTGACAACACGTAAATTGTAACACAGTTGAGAAAGTCAAAGTCCCTTCTAAGGACATACTTATACTGCAAACCCCTACTCTTACTTCTAAAGGGTTGGTGGGGTTTTTGCCAATGTGGGACAGAAGTGCTGCTAGGTTTATTGTGTTGGTACAAAGCATCACTTTTCTGCTACTGCTGTATTGACTTAAGAAGCTAACAGAGTACACTTACTTCTGTATCACCAAGGGGACCCTCAGCTCCCACGTGGTTTAGGTCTCTTTTCTGTGCGAAATATCAGATAAATGCTACATTCTCCAAGCGTTCTGCTTTCTCTCTTCATTGGTGGGCTTTTATTGTTTGGTTTCAAGCCAAGGTCTTTGCAACTAGTAAGCAGAACGTGCGCAAGAGAAAAAGGAGCATTAAGTTATGGGCTTGATCTGGTCATTATTAAATCAGCAGGCATTGAATTAAATTAAATCTTCTATTATATTCAACAAGAAACTCACTTTGGAAACACCTGCATTACAAATATTGTAAGATGGGATGCAGCTTGTTAGCAAAATCTATTTATAGCAACAGGAAGAAATTAGAGCCGTATCTATAAAAATGACCAGAACATAACGGAAAGAATCAACCAGCAATTGTTCCTATTCATAGCATTGTGATTTCCAGCACTGACCCATTATGAAGAGAAACCTGTTTCCTTTACAAGATTCTCCCTTCCATCTTCTCTCATAGAATATAAATGTAATTTTGAAGCTTGAAACCAAAATGTTTTTCTTACCAAATGCTATTTTCCTTCATCTTATGCTGAGAATGAATGGTTCTTCTTGAACATTCAGCTGCTAAAGAGAAAAAAAAGTGCAAATCAAATTTTCATTCTGTCCACTTTGACAAAGGCTCTTTTTTCCACATCAAGATTTGAAGGGAAATGAAGATTCTAAACCTCAAAATACAGTTGCAGTCAGACTGATTTCTCTACCTGTGATAATCACAATATTCTTTTTAATGGATTTCCTGAGAAAATGAGGTAAAAAAGAAATTATGCAGATGCATAAAGACCAGAGTATACCACAGGGAAAATGCTGGTAGAATAATGAGGACTGGGATCCTAGTGCAGTCATATTTTGAATAATCTGCTATGCTTGTTTTCAGTGATGTCTCAGTCAACAACAGAATACGGGTCTGAACAGACTGCTTCAGTACCTGCCACATCAATGGGGACTGTCACCAGTGCTTAAAAGGTAAATTACCCCGAATGAAAACATTTAAAGCAGTTTTTACAAAACTTCACACCACTTTCTGGATGTCAAAATTATTGGTAATGTTATGGTTTGATGATATAAAAAAAATGCCAGATGATCTAATATAAAGCTACCTTGGATAAAGAAGGATTTGCGGATTTTCTTACCTGGCAACAGCATCGATTGAAAGTATTTTAAGAAAATATATTAAAACTATGTCAAGAAAATTTTAAGCTTGTTACAACTAAAAATAGTTTTAAGAAAGCAGGTGAACCTTGGAAAAGCCATCCTTTCCCCTCAGCTGTGCAGCCTTCCCTGAAGCTTTGCCCACGACTTTAGTCCGGATGTTTTTCAGTGACAACTGTGTCATACAGAACTTTAAGGGTTTATGTATACAAAAAACATTTTAGAGGCATTTAGTACTGCATGTGTTTTATTGAAGAATGAGTGAATAAAACAGCCTTGCTAATTAAGCTGCTCTGGAAATAGCAAGCAACTGGAATTTCTGGTGTCAAAGCAGAGTAAGATTATAAAATGTGCTTCAGAAGAACCTTTAAACTGATGTTATTTTAGATTTATAGTTTTTAACCAAGTTCCCAAGTATTGTGGGAGTTTCTTTTTCTGTGTCTTCAGAGTACCACTGTTAAGTATGTTGGGAAAGGAACGCAAAACAAATTTCAAGCACTGTTTATGAAAGGGGATTTAAGATCAAATAATGCATTGTACAAAACACCAAAGCATTCACTGCTGGTCAAACACTAGGAGAACATTATCCACCACAACACTGACACATGCTAAATGATACATCCTAATAAATACACATGTAAGCAAATGACAAAAATTGCTTTAAAGTAGCAGATCTCTAATAAATTTCTATTACATTGACTTTCTAAGATACAAAAATAATAGTAATAATAATCTTTAGAATAATAAGTGTAGTATAACAGTTACACTTGCCCACTATATAAATACTTGCTCCATTGGTGAGAAAATGCAATTAAAGTTGTTGCCTGTCCTTACACAGCTCTATAAATGCACAGCCGTTACATCAAAACATCACGGATAACTGCTTTTACTGTAGTTACTTTAAAGTGTCTGTTAACAAACCTCAGGAAATTGCCTAAGAATTGGCTTGGTTTATACATGTTTTATCTATTATATTACAGGAGCATCTGAAGCAAGGATGATGCTCTGCTCCTCTTGGCACTGTACAAGTAAGTTGATAATCTCCAAAATGACCGATACAACAAAGCACACTGTGTAACTACTATAAATTCTTGCTTCTTACATAAACTGTCTGATGTATACCGAGTATGAACAGTTTGCATAGGGGCACAGTAATAGTTCTTCACACTGGTGTTTTTACGCTATTCTTAAAATACGGGCAGCTAATATTCAGACTGGCAGTCTGCTTTTTAAGAATCCACAAACTTAATTCATATGCTGTTAACTAGATATTGCTCATACATTTAAATGACAGCAGAAGAGAAAGGCTATCACTTAATTTACATTAACTGTAAAATATACTGATTTACAATACTTCAATTGTATTTAGTACCCATTCCTTTTTTTCCTTTTAAGGGTAAATGCACAAAGCTACATAAAAAAATTCACTACCGTTAAACAAATCCAACTTAAAGCAATAGAAAATCAATCTGAACCAACTTGTGCTATTTGCTTTGTCTGAAGTTCCAGAGATGAAAAATATTTTTGAATAATACTGATAGCCTAAAGAGATTATATTTCTTCTGATGCTTTAAGGGCTGTTTTATATTTATGAGTTCTTACCAAAAGCATAGATCTGAGAAAACTGTCACTTTTGAAAGCAAAAGGAATTAGCCCGTAATTCATAAAATTTGAGAGATGCTCAAGAGCTTCAAGTAACAGTGACCATGGAAAAAGCTCCACAGATAAACTGATATATATCAAGTCACATCACTTTTACAGCTGGTGTATTTTTTTTTCATTAAGAAACTATAAATAGATCAGAAAAGTGCATTGATTATTGGCAGCCATTGGAAGATTCTTGCCAACCTTTTTATATGCCATCAGAGTTGCATATTAAATTATGCATTTTTAAGTGTTTTTTTGCATGCCTTATCTATTTACAAGAAAATGCATTCCCGAGCAAGTAAGAAGCATGAGTACCATACCATACTGAAATGCACCTGTTAAATGCTTTAAGATAAAGTTCCATCAAGTTACTAGACGTAGATCACAACAGAACTTCACGAGAACAGAGACCTTAAAAAGGAACCAGTTAGCAATCTAATAAATGCTGCAGTGATTTATAAGCCTAAAGCTTGCCAACGGTACAACTGAGCTGCATTTAATTTACTTCAGGGCACCTAAGTATGGTTTTTTATAATACATAATTCAATTCAGGTAAAATTTTCTCTAGCTAACAAACTCCACAACTTATTTTGATTATTTTTTTAAATCTGGAGAATGCCTTTTGAAAATTCTATTAGCTTGTACCTTCCCAGCAAGGCGGACCCTAGCATCTGTCTCAACGTTTTGCAGTTGCTTTGAGAGCAGACTGTGGGGTTTGTGCCAAACGAAACTGCTCCCATCATTGATCAGTGTAATTCTTCTAGCATATATCACAAAACTGCCAAACATTTATGTCTTTAAGCTACACATTCGTATAAAATTTTATTCATATTACTACTGTAAAGGTATTACTTCTGAGACTATAGCGCTATTCACATTCCTAGATGTCCATACATTTCTCATTGAATAGCAAACGCAACAGTTCTTGTAAGACCGTTTATTGAATTTAACAGTTCAGAAGGAAATGAGATGCAGTTTAGATGCAGTTTGTATAAAAAAATCTCTCGATTCAGGTAAACTGCAATCAAAAATATCTACAAAATAGTAAGAGACTTACTGAGATCATAAATTTTCTAACATGTAAAACTATACAGTGTTTGTGCATGCTCACTATTTGATTTCCTCCTATGTAAATGAGAAGCTTTTAAAAGGAGTTATTTTCTTAAAATCTCAAGGTAGTCTATGAAATGTAATCATCGCATCATGATTCGGATATACAAGACCAAAACTGGCACAGAGGGACATAACATCTTTTTCCAAAAATGTTGAGGCAGCTTTTGTTGAACAACATCTGTGTCGGTAAATGTTTTATAAACTCTGGTGGTTTTGGAGCATCAGAGAAAATTCTTTCGTTTCTTCTGACATCTTGAAAAAAATTTCCCACAAGTACAGACAGGTAAGGTGGAAAATAGGTAGCAGCTTGTTTCCTACATACAGCTGAATGTTATGGTCAGCTGTCCAGCTTCTCAAAACAAAAATGAACTTGAAATCACAAGGAGGCATATCCCCCCCAGGTAACAATCATGTCTGAGACTCCTCAGAAGAGAGGGAAGCAAGCATGAGGGTAAAGCATAAGTCTACTTTTCATGCATAGGTACTGTGCTCTGCCCTGCATCTGGGGCACTTTGTCAGACATCTGAGTTGGAGCTGAGGTTTGTCAACCTGGGGTCTGCGTTGATCTCGTATCTGTAGTGATAGCCCTCCATGTGATCCCTACAGGCATCTCTGATGTTGTGCATCCACTTTTTGATTCCTTTTCGGTTTAAGTACAAAACCAGGAGGAATATGGCCCCAATGAGAGCCAAGACTATCCCCAGGAAGACGTACGAAGTCTGGAGCTGGGAAGGCAGGTCTATGGGCACAGAGCAGTTCAGGTCTAAGCTGTTGATCTTCAGCAGGGCTTTACCCAACATCTTGTCAGGGTATGCACAAGTCAGAGCTTCTTTGCTCTCCACCTGGTCACTCTCCTTGAGCCAGGCCACCAGGTCCTCAATGGGGCAGTCGCAGACCCAGGTGTTGTGGTCCAGGTCGATGTGCCGGAGGGTCGGCAGGCTGCGGAACTGGGTCAAGGTGCTGTTCCACAGCACAGCCAATGAGTTGTTGCTGAGGTTGAGGCTCTGCAGCTGGCCTAGCCCCTGGAAGGAGACGTTCTGCAGGCCCACCAGGGAGTTGTTGCTGAGGTCCAGCTGCCGCAGGGCGGGCAGGGCGGTGAACATGCCGGCGGGCAGCACCAGCAGTCCGTTGTCGGCCAGGTCCAGGCGGCTGAGGTTGCGCAGGGCCCCGGACTGCAGCAAGGCGGCCAGGCTGAAGAGGACGCCGTGGTCGCGCAGGGCCCCGCGGAGGGCCAGTTCCTCCAGGGGGCTGCCGCCCTCCCCGAAGGCCTGCGGGCTGAGCGAGACCAGCGCGTTGCCGCTGAGGTCCAGCTGCCGCAGGGCGGGCAGGGCGAGGGCGCCGGCCTCCACGGCCTGCAGGTGGTTGCCGCTGAGGTTGAGGGCGCTGAGGTCGGGCAGGAGCTGGGCGGAGAAGGCGCCGGCAGGCAGGTGGGTCAGGGGGTTGCCGGTGATGAAGAGGCTGCGGACGTAGGGCGGCAGGTCGAGGGGCACCGCCGTCAGGTTCCTATTCACGCACTTCACCGTCCTGGCCGGCTCCGAGCACTCGCAGAGGTCCGGGCAGCCGCCGGGCTGCTGCGCCGAGACGCAGCCCAGCAGGACGGGCAGCAGCAGCCCCAGGCAGAGCGCGCCGCGCCCCGGCATCGCGCCCGGCCCGGCCCCCCGCGCAACTTTCGCCCCCGGGCGCCTCCGGCTCCGGGCGGTGCGGCGAGGCGAGGGACGGCTTCGGGCAGTCCCTTCTTCGGGCGCGTCCCCTCCGGGACTGGCTCCGCTCCGCTTCCCGCAGCGAGACCTGTGGCAGGGGAGGAAAGCGAGACGGCAGCGGCGGGGCGGCGCGGCTCCGCTTGCCTGCGCCCACCCGCCTTTCCCCGGCCCGCGCCTCGCCCCCAAAACGCGGCTCGCTCGAGCGGCACCGACCCCGCGGCAGGGCGGGGGAACCCGCCAAGGAACAAGTTTTCGCCCACTTCCAGCTCACGCCGCCGCCTTCTCAGCCGGCCGTCGACTCCGCCGGCGTAGCACGGGAGGGAAGTGAGCGGAGGGGAGGGAAAGATCTAACCCGCCGCCACCCATCGTGTCCCATGGCTCCCCACCTGCCGTCCCTACCCCGGGGCTCTTCTTCCCCGCTGCTCCGCGCCACGACCGCTGCAAACTCCCGCCCGCAAACCCTCCGCGGAGCACAGCGGAGCCAAGCCCAGTCCCGGTCCCGGACCCCGTCCCTCACCTCCCGCCTGGCCTGCGGAACAAACTCCGCCGGAGCACTCCGCCGCCACAAACTGCCCCCGGCCCCGCCGCCAACTCCGCGCCCACCCTCGCCGCGCCTGGCCCTGCCTCCGCTGCCAGGAGAAACCAAGCACCGCCGGCCCAGGGGGAGCTGCCGCCCGCGCCTGCCCGAGGGGCGGCCCCGCCGCCGTCCGCGCCCCGCCCGGCTCCCGCCCGCCGCCCCCGCGCTCCGGCTCAGCCGCCGCTGCCGGGAGGCCTTGCCTGGGAGCCCGTCGGGAGGATTTGCTCGGCCCCCCGTTCCTCTCGCCCCCCCGGCCCAGGTGGTGCTGCCGGAGACTCACCTTGCCGCCGAGCGGAGCCGCGGCATGTGGAGCCGCACCATGCGGCGGTTCAGCCGCGGAGCGGCTCCCGGCCGCCGTGCGAAGGGAGAGCCGGCGGCGGTGAGCGCTGCCAGAGCCCCGCGCTCCGCTCCCCGCCCTGGCAGCGCCGTACCTGTGCTTATCCCGACGCGGCGGAGCCTGAATGCTGGGCGCCGCTTCCCGCGGATTCCACGAAGAGCGCGCTCAGGCCGGCGGCAGGATGGGGAATCCCGAGGGGTTTCCAGGGCGGGGGCGCTGCGCCGCTGCTGGAGGCGCGGGACCGCGAGGCCGGCCGCTGCCCCCGCGCGTCTGTCCAGGGATCGCCTTTCGGGGGAGGGAGTACAACAGCGGCCGTGAAATACACCAATCGAACTCCAAAACTAAAGCAAAAAACCCACAAAAACCCCAACCTGGACTTTTTAGAAGTCCTAAAATAAACAATAATAATTTTTAAAAAAGAAAAGGACCCGCATTGACAGCCCAAGCCTGAGATTTATTATGGTGAGGAAAAGCCTAAATACCTGCGTGTATGTAAAATATTTACCAGTTTCATCCACTGACTGTCCCTGAACAATCCAGGTGGTACAAATATTGACTAACTCGGGATATTTGAGGAAAACATGAATGGTGTGAGCTATCATGGGGGCTATATTGAGCCACTGGTCCTTAGGAAGTGATTGAGATCATTAAATAACATCTAATTAACACAGAAGACCTACCAGTGTATTCAAATAACCAGTTTCAGCAATGTGAAACAGAATGAGAGTCGGTAACTCCTTTGGGCTTTCCTTCCCCTTCTGCTGACTGCCTACAAAAAATTTCTTCTACAAAAAATTGTCAGAGTTATACTCCTGCTTTGCTGATAAACTAGGTTCCTTTTTTTGGTAAAGTCAGCAGGAATCTCAGAGCTGCCAAAAGCTGTAGGGGAACAGATAAATCCAGAATGAAGACTTGATAAAATCAGCCCCAGAATCTGGAGAATAATGAGCTAAAACACTTGTTTCTGTAGGATTGTTCTCCTCCCTCTAGCCTGACAGTGGTATTACAGTGCAGAAAAGTCTGGGGTTGGGGTGACAGGCGAGGGCTGCCCAGCTGATAGACCAGTGTGCTCTTTATATGAAGATTATGGAGAAAAGGAAATAAGGGGTGGCTGAAGTAATAGTGATACAAGTGAGATCTTGGATTTGCCAGCTGTTCCAGAAGTTTGGGAAGTTGTTCCTTTGATGTTGAGTTTAAAAAACGGTGGCACTACACCGCAGAAGATTTTAGTTTGTTAAAAGGTATGTTTACAAAAATAAATAATGGAAAAAATTCTTAATCAGCATACCCATAACTATGATTTATAAAATGTTTAGATACAATGTCATTTTTAATTAAATAATACAATTAAGAGCAATTATGCTGGTCTGCTCATTAGCTGACCATAGTTTTCCTAGAAGTTCCTGACTCTTTATGGTTGACTGGATGGGATTGTGCCTCTTGCCCTGCACAGCAGGTTAGCCCTTTGGGCAGGGAATGTGTTTATGTTCCATGTCTATGGAGTGCTCACTGACAGGTGCTTGAATGTGCTGCAGTAATGCAAATAATGGATAACAAGTATTTTCCTATTCTCTCCTATTATTCCAGTGGTAAATTGTACTTGCTACGCCTGTTTAAGCTTGCAAGACGAAAAAAACCACTGCTCTCTTCTCTTCTTGTTTAAATAAAACATCTTTTCTCAGAGGCACACTCCAAAAAAACAAATGTTATTTTCTGGTGAATACACTTATACCGAGTGTATTTCTGTGTATGTTGAGTGATTTCCTAGATGTGTTTGTAATCTGCACTAGGAAAATGAAGAAAAAAACCCTGATATGTTTTCTGGTCAGTTTTGTCTATTACAATTGGTTGATTTGTGAATTTGCATTGCAAAGCCCATAGAATCTAATCTCATAGTTTTTTGCATAACGGTTATGCAAAACTTCTGCCTGAGTTAAAGTATAGGATTTGAACATATATTGTCTTGGCTAAGGGGCTCCAACTGGAAGTTAATTTACCATAAGGAAACTGTTCCTGCTCCTGTGGCTGATATTCCTAGACATTAAATGAGAAGCTCATTTTCAGGGATAGGGGTGGTTGAGGTAATGCTTCAGTTTCTCAGTGGTTCTGCGGCTCCAGGCTGAGGCTGGATAATATGCTGGTCATCTGCAATCATGAAGTAAACCTCTGACCATCCTCCTCCAGGCAGTTAAAGCTTGCTTCATGTGATAGTGATGAGAACTGCTTGCTTTTGAAAATCAGTACTCCAGTAATTCAGCTTCCACAATGTGAAAGTGTGACAACTACCTAAGGGGACTGCAGAGAGTCATAGAGACAAATCGTGATAACTATACTGCTCAACCATTTCGGAGTTGCTATTCCCCTTTTAATCTTCTCACCTTACAAAGGAATAAGTGGCATTTGTAGATGCTTATGCCTCTCCACTCTCCTTAGGAAAAGCTGGAAGATTATTTTAGACACTCAAATTTAAGGCTGTTAATTAAGTTAATTGAGATGGATCCCATCCTAAATAATCTCAATGCCCCTTCGACAGATACCAAACAATGCTGGATGCCCCTTTTGAGTAGCCTAATTGCAGCTGATGTCCAAGGAGTTGGAAGAATTTGGGGAAGAACTACATGCAATAGCAATTATATTTTTTTTATATTTTATTTTCTTTACCGACAGGGAAATTTATGTTTGTTCAGTGAAGTGTTTCTTCATTGCCTTAATATTGCATGAAGATACTCAATACTTCTAGGAAGTGACCTTGGAAGGGCATTTATGATGCGCTAAAGATCGTACACCAAGTGAGCAATTGCTCAGGCACCAGAAATCTTTTCTTTTACCAAATGTGTCTTCCCACAAAAGTGGAAGAACAAGCTGCAAGTTCCGTCTGCTACCTCACATAGAGAGATCCAGCAGGTCCTCCGACGGACACCTGTTTTTCTTGGGACTTGGCTTCCTTTGAAGAAACACCATCAGAATCCTTAAGATGGTGCCATAAAAATACTTAGGCAACCAAATGTTGCCTCGTATTCTTGTTTGAATTTTATTCAGCATTCACATGTTCACACCCATAAGCATTCAGGTTCCAGTTTTCTTTTTAGGTGCACTTAAACTTGCATAATAGTTTTTATTGAAGCAATATAGATGGCAATCTTCGAGGAATCTATGTTTACGTTTTCATGTATGCTATCCATTTTTATATTGAAATAATAAAAGTTAATCTAGCACAGAGAATATTGATTTTTAATACTGTGAAAACATAGTAAACTTTGCCAGAACTAACAGAAAAAATATTTTAACCAAAAGTAACATTTTGGGAGGGGAGTCTTTAAAATATGTTAACTTGGTGTCTGTATTAGGGCACTGTTGTAACTTCTGGAGTCTCCTGCATGCCTTAGGTGGGGATAGAAGGGATGATAGGAAATAAAGCACCCCCACCTAAATGTAAGCAACACTGAAAACTGGTGAAACTGTGAAGACAGACTCTACCTGCTCCCCATGTTTCCCTGTAATGTTTTATTGTTAAAAATAATAAAACACTGCGTGACTCAAATAAGAAGGAAACAATGGTGACTTCCTCCAGCAAAACTGGCTACCAGGGCTGGAGTCAAGAATACACTAGGAAAAAAGACTTGGGAAGAGGACTTGCTGTATTCTAGGTGCTGCCACCGTGTGCATATCCCTCTGTCTATACTCCAGCTCTGCATGCTCTGACATGTAGAGTATCTGCAACAGGGACCAAGCTGAATAACCTCTTACAAGTTCATCACAAAATAACTGAGAACTTAACATGCTTAAACAGGTCAGGCTAAACTTTCAATCATGCTTTTATTCTTTCTTTGCTCAGGAAAAATGCATGTCTTACTTTCAAGCTATCTTTGATATATTATTATGTGGATTTTAAAATCGTGATTCTTTTTTTATTATTCTAATTTTAATAATGCAAATTTGGTTCTATAACCTAGGCTATAGAGTAAATCACTACAGCCAGTAAAACTCTTCCTTCCACAAAATAAGGCTTCTGAGCTTAGTCCTTCTTGAAGGACCAAAATGACCTGCCTTCTGATTACTCCTTATTACTCTGATTTGCACCACAGGGTGGATAATATGAGCAGCCTTCAGCTGGAAAGCTTGTATGTTGTTCATGTTCACTTGGGATGTCCTGTCAAGGAGCAGCAATCTAGAAGTCTAATGGCAATGCTGGAAAATGGGCTGAGTGGATTATTTTTTGGATTAGTGTTGCTCTGTGCCGTGGCAACCTGCCTTGCTGCACACAGTGCCTCCTAGCTGACACTGAACTCAAAATCCTGTTTTATGGGCCAACTTGCAATTTTGCCTTCATTATAGTGTGTGAAGAAGGCACCAGGTTTGACTGAGGTGCTGGGTTCCAGTTCACATTTGCCCATGGTTTGAGGGGACTCTTAAAAGATGGCATAGGCTAGGGCAATCACCTACCTGCAGTGAGGAAAAGAAGGGAGAGCTGAAATACGTTGCTTTCTCTCTTGGCTCTGAAAAGCAGAAACCCAGATCTGCAGAGAATTTGGGCCAATGTGTTCCTCACACTTCTGTCGACAGTCCCACTCGTTCCTCACTCTGCAGGCTGTGCTGTGCCGAGGTTTCGCAGCCGTTCACGGTGCCAAGGGTGTTTCCCGGTTTGCCCTGCTTCCCCAGCAAGTAAGGGTGGCTGATTTCAGCACACAGGGCTGCAGGAGCTCTAACAACAGAGGACTGCAAGTCGGGAGTATTTCCATGTAAAGCCTTTTTCATGAAAACATGTTCATCTGTTGAAACTGAAAGTCTTCATAGGGGAGAGTTGACTTTGATGAATTCCCCATTAAAAAAAGAAAAAAGGCATATGAAAGGCTCAGCAGATTTGAGAACATATGGGGTTTGATTCTCCACTGTCTTACACGTTGTGCTGTTGTTTACAATCTGACAAAGCAGACGTAAAATGCAACTCACTGCCTGGTTAAGATTTGCCTCCACAAGTATGATTGAATACACAAGATTAAAAACCTTGGTGAATCAGTGTCCCGCATCTG